ATTAATGCTCGCTGATGATGAGGTGCGACGAGTGATGGTTGACCGCCGGTCCGTCCGTTAGTGAGCACAACAATGGAAGAAAGACGACAATTGTCTCCGTCATGCTCGACAAAACTTAAAAGAGTTTTTAAGAAGTTATAGGAAACTGTAGATACAGTGATTTAAAGAGACTTCTTCTACATTAAGAAAGTTACAGGAAAGCGCAGACACAGTGATTTGCAGAAGAATCTTCGCAGACAACCGTCTGCATCATATTTGTCTTGCAAGAAATCAGTATTATATATTTGCTAAATCGATTTCCTTATGAGGAATTATTACAAGTCTTAAATTAGTATTTCCTATCTTGAACTTAAAAAGAAAAATAAAACTAAAATTAATTTTTTACCTTATTTGAAACCCTCGTTTATCTCGTCTCTCTCTCTATATATATATACATCGACAAGAAAGACCCCATGCATGCTATCGGCTGTAGGTAGGTCTGATCCACCTTTCTCTTTTGATTTAAGTTTCATAGTATTCGATCGATGTAAATGTTTAATATTTTAAGTATTCTTGATAATAATCCATAAAATTTTCTAACGTAAAAGAAGAAAAAGGATGCAAATGAATTGTTTTTAATTTCATCGTATGGCATAAAAAATTGAGGATTAGATTGATCGCGACATAAATTTGTTAGAAAAATTAGGTGACCAAGTTTGGAATGTTGAAAAGGTGTTTTTGCTTTACTCGATGATTTCATTTAGATTGTAATCAATTTACAAGTGATTGAGAAAAATATTAAGTTGTAATTATATAATTATAAATTTCGTTAGTATAACTATTGAGATAAATTTCTATCCACTTAATGTGCATGCTAAGGAAAACTTTACCTTCCGAATCTATATTACCATCTGTATTTATTTGTGATGCTGCAGAGGAAACACAATGGAGCGGGCAACGAAGAACTCTGTCCGGATTCGTAAGTACATTTGGAACTTTGCTTGTTTAAGTTGGTGAGTTCTGTTGCTTTGACCCAAATTTCGTCGTATACTTTGGAATGAATCGTAGAGACTTCAAAGAAGACTGACGATGTTTGGGTCACTCCATCTGCTTCCAATCCACTTGATGCAAAAAGTGATTTCAGCTTTTTCTCAAGCTCGTCGCAGGCGCTTCATCATGATAAACAACGTATGATGCTGCTTTCTTTTCATTTTTCTTAGTTTGCAACTATTGTATGCTGAACTGACGATACCAATCTTGTTTTGTCATTCGGTGAGCGTTACAGATTCACATAAGGGTACTCAGTCAACTCATGATGATAGGAAGGGTAAGGATCGAATGGATGATGTTGACCCTCAAGATGTTGGGATCATGTTACCTGATGATGAAGCAGCGCTTTTGTCCGGCGCACTGGATTGTCTTGACCTTAGTGAGTCGCCTGGACAAGTGCTTGTTGCGTTGGAAGACTGTGATCTTTTCTGCGATGGAGGGAAAATGGAATTGGATTCTGATCCTAAGGAGAGCATTACAGTTGGCAGCTATTTAGGCAATGTAAACCATCAGTACACTCTTGCCGGTGGTGTTGGGACTATTTCGGTGGCACACCCGCATTGCGAGCATCCTTCGAGAACTTTATTTGTGCGAAACGTCGACAATAATGTCGAAGACTCTGAACTGCGGTCGCTCTTTGAGGTAACTGTTTGTGTTCTTGTTGTATAGCTTTATTTGCAGCTTAATCTTGAGTGAGTCGCAAGGATCAATAGATTGCCTCTGATGAATTTAATGACTACTTTGATGGACGACAGGAATAATTTGAATGAATTTAAATCATATTTTTTTGGAACATTACAGAAATTTGGAGAAATTCGAAGTCTTTATACTGAATGCAAACCGAAGGGATTTGTGATGATATCTTACTATGATATACGAGCTGCTCAATCCGCCAGGCGTGCATTACAGAACATGCCCTTAAGACGAAGAAATCTCGACATACATTATTCGATTCCGAAGGTCTGATAGGGATACTTTTCTTTATCCTATTTTGCTATCATTAAGTAGTTTGTATCGCTTGTCCATCCTCTGTTCTTGTAATTTCCAGGATAACCCATCGAACCAAGAGACGAACCAAGGAATTCTTGTGGTGTTCAATTTGAGACCTTCACTTTCTACTGAAGACATTGCGCAAATGTTCGGGGCGTACGGTGAAATCAAAGAGGTCAGTATTGCTTGTGCAAGATCTTGATAACTCGCATGAGGTCTGTGATAAGATGTTGCTTGTTTGCTATGGAGCAGATATGGGAGACTCCTCACAAACGGCACCACAAATTTATCGAGTTCTATGATGTCAGAGCAGCAGAAGCTGCGCTTCGATCATTGCACAACACTGAGATAGCCGGCATGCGATTAAAGATAGAACCCAGCAGCCATGGTGGAACTCGTAGGTAGTATGTATATGAGTTCAAATATGTGGTAGATTCTTGTTTACCTTAATTTGAACTATTACTTGTGTGCTAAAACCTCGATCTTCTAAACAGCTCGATGCAACAGCTGAGTCGTGAGTCTGAACAAGACGAGAGCGTAGTTCCTGGGGACCTGTCCATTGCCAATTCGTCTCCAGGTATCTATATCTTGCTGACAATGTTCTCAAGTTCAAATCTAATGGTGTTTATCTTTTTGATTCGAACACTTGCCATCGAATGAAGTGGATGTCTCTTGATTGACAGGTTCATGGCTACAACTCGGTATCCCGAATGACATTCCATATTGTCAGCAAGATACATGGAGAAATGATGACATTACACTAGAAAGTTTTGCCAAGTCCGCTGCGAACCCTACTGGATTATCGGGTTATCGTGACAAGATAAGCTCCAGCAGCAGCAGCAGTCCTTTACAGGGAGGTGGATCTCAACGATCTCATTCCTTCCCATATCTTGGTTGTGCTCAGGGAGAGATGACTTCAATCTCAGGAAATTTAACTTCTTTTGGTCCTCCGACTCCAAACACATCTGGTGTTCGAAATCAAAGTGGCTCACGGTATCCCTGCGGTACTTCGACTTCTTACATGGGTAATGTGCAGTCTTCTTCTTGGCAGCCTGGAGCTACAGGAGGCTCGTTCATGGCGGATGGACACGGACGAGAACGGAGCTCTCGCTACTCAAACCAGCATGGCTCGTTCATGGGGTCACCACACCATCAGCATGGATATTTAATCCCCGTGACACAAGACACTTCCTTCGTGATGAACATGACTCCTTCCGGTGGCAGTTCACTTGCGAACATGAAGAACCAAGGCATTACTGTATCAGGGAATGTGCCTTCTCATGGATTTGGAGCTGCGCCCTTTTACAATGCTCCTTATTCTGGCCGAGCAAACAACGACCAGTATCAGCTTGACTTGGATAAAATCACCAAGGGGGAAGACACTCGAACAACGATAATGATAAAGAACATTCCGAACAAGTAGATATCTTTTTCTCATATAGAATCATAAAAATCCGTGCAGTCTTGGCATGCATGCAGGATTATAAACCTAATTTGGATATTACATGTTCTCCAGTTACACCTCCAAGATGATTTTAGCTGAAATAGACGCAACTCACAAAGGCACCTATGACTTTTTCTACCTGCCAATTGATTTTATGGTAATATGCACGAAAGTCAAACAATAGTGTGGGTTGATGATGATAATGTATTATTGAGCTAATCAATGTTGGTTCTTTCATGCAGAAAATGTGCAACGTGGGTTATGCATTCATTAACATGCTGTCTCCTGCGCACATATTAACCTTTTACAAGGTTTTGTTCTGCTCCAGTTAGGACTACTTGGAGTATGATCATTTCTGGGGAGATTCACTAAACCCTTAAATGTATATTTGCAGGCATTCAGTGGGAAGAAGTGGGAGAAGTTCAACAGTGAGAAGATTATCTCTCTGGCATATGCACGAATCCAGGGTAGAGCAGCACTTGTTGCCCACTTCCAGGACTCAAACTTGATGGCTGAAGCTAAGATATGGCACCCTATCTTTTTGGATCCTGAGGGAGCAGAGGCTGGTGATCAGGTATAAGCAAGCCAAGATGCTTACTCTAATTCAGTGAGCAATCTTCAGTACACTGAATTTGAGATGATTGCTAATGGATCAGAAGGTTTTGCAGGAACTCCTACCGCAAGCAGGACACAAGGAATCAGTTTGGATGAGAAGAGAGAAGAACACCTCATCTGGAGGTAGCTTTGAAGAGTAGTGGTTCTTCGCAGCAATCATGTACCTGCAAAGACTGACTTCCCTTCTGTGTTCATGGTGATGGGGAAAACTGCAGGTGCACTGGTGTCGTAGGGTGTGTTGTCAACCTTTGCACCCATGGGTGCATCAAAGTTACTATTAATGGGAACTGGGAAATTAAGACCCTTCTTTTTCTTGGTTTTTGGGGTACAGATAGACTGATTTAAAGATTGACTTTGATATTTAGTATGCAGTATATGACAATTTGTGTTTGCCTTTACTAAACTTTCTCTTGTCTCGACGACTCAGATTAGTTAAGTGCTTTGACCTTTAACATCCAATATTATGATAAATATACAAAAAAATCTTTATAAATATATAACTTAGTTCGTCAGAGCATTGTGTTCATCAACGACACTTGTGTTCAAAGATGTGACATGGATTCCATCATTAATTTTCCTGCCTAGTCTTGGAAGCACCAACACGAGTGTCATACATCATCTTTTCGGATCCACGTACCAAAATCGGTGTCGAGGACAAGCTACAGTCATATGCATGTGTGACCGAGGACGGGGCAACGGGAGCCCAAGCGATGCAAAGGGGCGCGAATCACAAGGCAAATCCAACGGTTACAACGGTCATCCACCGTTGGGGGCAAGAACACAGCGATCACGGGCCTGATGAGTTGATCTGACGGTGACTGATGCAAGGACGATGCGACGTGGTGTCTGCTCTGGTAGGAGCATTTGACAAGGAGGAGAACTCGCGCATACAGACACGGCAGTATACGTTACAGGCCATACGACAGCTTAGCAGCCATCCAGCGATGGTTTCTTCTTCGCTTCGGTCATTGCCCGAGATGGATCATTCTATCCTTCCCACCTCGGCTCCGACACCTCCCTCTGTCTCCAACGCCGCCACTGCTGTATCCCCGCCCTCGTCTCCCAGCTTCCTCCTGCGGGTCTCCGTCTTCCTTGTCCTCGCTGCCTTCTCGCTGTGGGCAAATTTTGAAGCTTCCAAGGGCTTCGAGATCGCCGTCATCAACGCCGCCTCCGACACACATGCGGCCCGGCGCTTCCATCTCCTGTTCGTCTCCAACGGCCGCGCCGCCAGACTAGTCCTCAGCTCGAGCGATTTCGTTGAGCGCGTCCTCTATCCGGATGATTCGTTCCCTAGGAAGCCAGTGGGGCGGGTAACGCTTTACATGGCCGCCTTAGACCTCAACGAAACCGTCCTGGTCAGCCGTGGCCGCCGCCCAGGCGAGTTCGTAGTTCGGATGAGCCAAGCCGTCATGGGGGAGTCCGACGTGCAGGTGTCGGTGGCCTCCGCGGTGCAACGGGGCATGGCCCGCGTGTGGCTCTGGGACGGGCGAGGCCGGGCGCCGAGATCGCTTCTGGATGCCATGGTAGACTACCTCACCGTCTCAACCGGTCTGGTGTCGCCACGGATGAGGCGGAACGACGACAGTGCCGCACTCAACGCTGCTCCGTGCTGGGCGGAGCAAGATCGGTTGTGTGTAGCACGCATGAACCGAGCCATGCAGGAGGAATGGAACGAAAGCAAGCTAGAGGATGCCTGCGGCCTGCCTTCTGAAAGCTGTGCTCGGTCTTCCTACTCCTCATTTGAGACAGTATGACCACAAGGAGCTACCTGCTGAACGAAGGCCTCAGACCATATTGGCGGGCACTTCCAAGTATGCTACTGCATGTTGTACTACTGCTTGATGGTGCACGCAATAACCTAGCCTGATGTACGAGACAAATATGCTACTTACATGTTGTCCTCCATTGATGTATCATCTATCATTAGTATCGATTCCACTGATGGCTTTGACACAGCAAAATCTATAATATGTAGCAGGCACGAGATCACGTTGGCAGAAGAGCTGAAGTTAGTTCTAATTATGGAGTAAAGTACATTGTTTCTATTAGGGGCTCAATAAGCCCTGCAGGAATCGACCATCAAACACAAGCTAGTGAATGTTGTTTGGTACGCTTAATGTTTCGATTATTTTATTCTAATAGTCAGCATTAATATGCCTGTCTCAAGAAATAATTGAAAACCCGTACAAGCAATCAATGGATGTCACCAAATACATTTTCCATAAATAGCGTTTAATTTAAGTCTACCAGTTAAACTAGTTAGCATCTTTTAAATAAATATTTAGTTGAGTAGCATTTCTTTTTCATCCTAATCAACACTTATTATAATTAAGCATAGTATTAGAATAGAAAGTCCTTAGTTCTTTTGCTTATTTTAGGGCTGCTTTCCAAGAATATAAATGGTTTTATCGTGTTCCATTTATCAACTTAAGCTTGAAATGAATCGGGAACTTAGCATAGAATTAGAATATAATTACGGCCCAAGAGAGTTGCAGAAGAGGACACGTTATGGCGAAAGGGAGGATGACAGGGATGAATGCTACAGCAGCATATGGCCGTATCAATAAATTTCACCTCATGTTGCACGGACCAATTAAAGACTATTATGTTTTGGGTAGGTAAGATATATAAAAGAGGAAGTGATCGTACAAGTACAACAGCAATGCTGCAGAGAGGACTTTTGTTCACTGCGAAAAGAAGAGAGTACACAACCAATAATGCATAAGTATCAGCATAGGTAAATGTAGATTATAGCCTCCTCCAGTAAACTGAAGCTACAAATATCAAAATTTTCATATCAGCATAGCTAATGTAGATTATGTACACACACAGACACACACTTTGCATAAGTTGTGGTCACTTCAAGTGGAACAAAATATTTCTTTATATCGACGTATATGTGTACACCGACAACAAAAATGCTTGGGGAAGTACGTATACTGAGAACAAGATACTTCCAAGGCATCAGGCTCCACTTCTTTACAGTCATTTCATGTTCTCGGTCTTTTCATTGTGTCCGATAATGCATTCTTTTCTGTAGCTAAGACTAAGGTGTATGAAGCGTGAATGTTTTGTGTGACATTGTTACCCCACACTGGTTTTTGGGAGCTCAGCGGTGCTGCTGCTCCACTTCGTGACGGGGGAGGTGAAATGGAGTGGAGGCAGTAGCAGGCCTTTGCCTGGTTTGCTAGTTTCAGTAACCAGGGTGGCCGAGCTCGTACTGCATTAATGGCGGTGCCGGGCATAGTGTAGAAGCCACGGCGTCTGTTCTTTCATGCATGCGAAAGCCGGCGATGGTGTTTGTGCAGAGTAGTCGGTCGCACGCTCCGCTGCTCACCTCTGTTGCGTCGTCCGTTCGACATTGATAAGTTATGGACGGTCCCATAGGTCACTGAGAAACCACCATTCATGGCACGGCGGGCCTCGGATGTTCCCTTGTGTGTCTCGCATCTCAGTTGTTTATCTTGTCCTCGTGGAGTGTCGAGTAGAAAACGTTGCCAAATGTGTGGATATGTGAAGCTTGATCCGATTAATAATATCAACAGGATAGAGTGATTTTAATAGGGATATATGTGTTAGAAATATAAATTAAAATTAGCTTAAGCTTTCATATATAATAATATTGATAAAAAAACAATAAATCACGGAAAATGATACCCATCAAACCTATAATTTCAACCTTCCACAGCATGACTCGAGGCAAGTTGGGCTACCAACGCTGTTGGTCCAATTTGGGTGGCCTGCTTGACTCACAGGCCCAGGTGCTGGAGCAGGGCACAGATGTAATTTCGGCGAATCTTCTGTCTCTTGCTGCCACGTAGGTAAATGCCAAGCGGATGCCATTGCTAATAATCCAAATCACTACTCGATGATTGCACGCATCTACAGATCTTTAAAGGCGAGCCAATTATTTTTTTCGAACTGTTCGACCGTTGCACTTCCCGACCGTTGCAGCACATCTGCAGAGATTTCAAACACCGCATCGGCCGACTCTTCTCAGCCGTCCATTCCATCCCCGAACAACGCCCCGGATCTTCCCTTCCTCCTTCCCTCCCTCCCAGCTCCTGCTGCTTCCATCCCTAATCTCCCTTTCTTTCTCGATCAAGATCCCGATCCCCCAAACAAATCTCCAATCGAAGGATTCGTTCGCAGAATCTTTTTGGCAGGGGGGGAGAAGTGGAAGGAATCCTCGGTTTGATGCGCCAATAGCGTCATCGATATCATCGTCTTCTTGTTCTTGGGAGTTTGATTCTGGCAGACCATGCCGGTCTCCACACGGTCGCAGATCTCGATCGGCCGCAACGAGCCGGCCTCGGCGGATCATGATCGAGAAGGGCAGCGGGCGAGGGCGCGGCTTCTGCGTGACCCGCACCACGGCCTCCGGGAGAAGATGAGGGCCCTCACCCTCTTGTACGAGCAGCACCGGAGTCAACTGGCCTCCAGAACGGGCTCCGCGGACCCCCGCGTCCTCGGCACCCACCACCCTAGCGTCGAGCTGGCCGACTCTAGCCGCCGCCGGAGGCAGCAAGAACAAGAAAAGCAGGGTGAAGAAGACGAGCGGGATCCGATCCAGAAGGAGAACGCGAATCGCGGCTTGTTTCCGATGGCTGACGCCACCAAGGAGAACCAAGAAGTCTGGGACCAGAATCGGATGGCGGTGAACTCCGCCGCCTGCCCCAAGAAGGCGGTGGCCACGGCTCCCGGAGTCGGAAGGGCTGCGACGACGGGGAAGCTCTCGCTGCGAGAGTTGATCAGCGATGGTGCGCAGTCGGATGGCTGGGTGGGGAGAAGCAAGGTTGGTGGGGATCAATTGGGGGCTGTAGCAGCTGAGAACCGAGAGGCCCCTGGCAGCCGAATCCTCGTGTTCGTGCGGCTGAGGCCGATGGCGAAGAAGGAGAAGGACGCCGGGTCGCGCTGCTGCGTGAAGATCGTGAACAGGAAAGACGTCTACTTGACGGAGTTCGCGTCCGAGACGGATTACCTCCGGCTGAAGAGGGTCCGAGGGCGGCATTTCTGCTTCGACTCCTCCTTTCCGGATTCCACGCCGCAGCAAGAAGTCTACGCCACCACGTAAGGCATCACTACCTGATTACTGCTTCTTTGCATATAATTCAAACACAATTCCTCCCATTTAAAATGTTTGTTCTTTAGCAAGACCATGACAACTTCCATAAAGATCTCTTCATATCCATAATATTATTATTCTTGTAATCTTCAAGCTGAATCGATGCTAGTTTTTCTCTATTTAGATCTTGTCAATGACCATATTTCTTGTTTTCTTCCTCATACAATCGATGTGTATCATCCGTGATTTCCCCTGTAATTTCATGCTTCTTGATCACTGTCCACTGCCATGCGGAAATGTCAGTTATACTCTGTCGAAAAGAATCCACTGAACCCTTTAGTATCGATTGCATGCTCTCGTTTGTCATAATGTATCGACAAGGGAGCCTTCTTATCTGTATTCCCAAGTATGCATCATGAGAAAAGCTTTTTGCAACGCTTGTGTCTGTTTATGCAGCACAGCAGATCTTGTGGAAGGTGTTCTACAAGGGAGGAATGGTTCAGTATTCTGCTATGGCGCAACAGGAGCTGGCAAAACATACACAATGTTAGGGACAGTGGAGAACCCGGGTGTCATGGTTCTGGCTATCAAGGATCTCTTCTCTAAGATTAGGCAGAGGAGCTATGATGGGGATCACTCGGTCCAACTTTCTTACCTTGAGGTCTACAATGAGACTGTCAGAGACTTGTTATCCCCTGGCAGACCCCTTGTCCTAAGGGAAGATAAACAGGTTAGTCAGCTTCTACTTCTCCCAAACATAAATTGCTTATAAATTTTGACACCGGATCTATTGAAGGTTATCTGTACATTGTAGGTCAATTGAGTTATATATACATTCCATGTGCCTTGCAAGTTTCCTAGGAGCATTATTTCTTATAAACGCCTGTTCTATTGCTAGCATTTGCAAATCGTTTCGTCTATCGAAATGTAGATGTTTGGTTGTTAATAGCATTTACAAGCTGCACTTACAATTGTAGTTTAGCTTATTTTACCTGTATGTTGATTTATGAACAAAGACGAGAGTAGATACAACTCATAGTAAATTATGTTGATGATTTATGATTATATTGACTATAATACTCCATTCTTTGATAGTGAAATCTAACTCAGTGTCTACTCTTACCATTATATTACTTCAATGATATTGTCGTAACGAAACAAATAATTATTTTGGCTCATTCTAAATCGTAATCTTTCTTCTTGCACTTCTACTCTCTACTTCTTCCCCACAGCCTCCTCGATCACCTTCTGTACCTCAGTGACATGGTTACTGTATAATCATACAATGCTTAAGTGAAATGAAGTAAGGCATGAGTTAGCAGCTTAGATTCACTTAAACAAAATTTGATTCTTCTGTAGCGAAAATATAGTATTTAAAAGTTTTTTGCTCCCGTACTATTCAGGGAATTGTAGCTGCTGGTCTCACACAGTATAGAGCTTACACAACGGATGAGGTAATCCTAGTCATCACTAGTATAACTTGTTCTGGTTGTGAATTCTTGAAGCACTGGTTATGATAATGCTTCTTTTGTTGTTATCTTCTCCTGTAGGTCATGACATTGCTTCAGCAAGGCAATCAAAACAGAACCACCGAGCCAACAAGAGCCAATGAAACATCTTCCCGGTCTCATGCAATACTTCAGGTAGTTTAGTTTTTGATTCCCAGCTCTCTGTGCATTTAGGTACTAAATGTTGATCATGTGAAGCTATCTTTCATTCATATGTAGGTGGTGGCAGAATACAAATGCAATGATTCAGGTACCATTGTGAGACGCATCGGGAAACTTTCGCTTATTGATCTAGCTGGATCAGAGAGAGCTCTGGCAACTGATCAACGAACGCAGAGATCGATCGAAGGTGCCAACATCAACCGCTCCCTCCTTGCTTTGAGCAGTTGCATCAATGCTCTTGTGGAGGGAAAGAAGCACATCCCTTTCCGCAACTCCAAGCTGACCCAACTTCTCAAGGATTCCTTGGGAGGACAATGCAACACTGTCATGATTGCCAATATAAGCCCTAGTAATCTCTCTTTTGGTGAGACGCAGAACACACTCCACTGGGCTGATCGTGCCAAGGAGATAAGAACAAAGGTTTGGCTCTTCAGCTTCTTTGGCAAGAAATCAAGGAACCTAAAACACATATGAGCTTTTGAATTTTCTGAGTTGTCTTGTATAAACCAAAAAACATATTGATGATTGTAGTGTACTCTTCAGGGATGTGCGGCAAATGAGGAATCATCAATTCAGGTGCCAGATTCTGAAGTAGATCAAGCTAAACTAATATTGGAGCTACAAAAGGAGAACAGTGAGTTGAGGCAGCAATTGGTTCGCCACCAGCAAAAGATGCTGACCATCCAAGCTCAATCGTTGGCTGCCTCGCCCGCACCATCCATTGCACCACCCTCCTCCGTTCTCTCCACGCCATGTTCGACCCAAAGAAAAGTCAAACGCTCCATTTTATCTGCCAACTGCTTCAGCACGCCAGAGTCCAAGAACAGAGCGAACGATGATACAGTAGTCCAGGGACTAAAGAAGACTGTGAAGGCCTTGAAGGACGAGATAGAGAAGCTAAAGAAGGAGCATGTGCTCCAGCTGAAGCAGAAAGATGACTTCATTCGTGACTTGATAACGAAGTACGGCTTGAAACCTTCGGAAGGACAAAGGGAGAAGAGAGTCGGCACGAGATCATCTCTCCGCAGGGGAGAGAAATCTGCAGCGGAAACGGGGGAATTGAAGAGCCCAAACCATCGTTTTACTTCCCCTGTGCCGACTGCCAAGAAACGCAGCTTTTGGGACATCACCACCGGTAATAGCCCTTCGGTCGTCGCTCTCAATGGAAGGAAGACCAGAAGCCATGTGGCTGCTGAAGCTCATGCAACTCCCTCAATGCTGCTTCAGGTACAAATTTCCAAGTGATCGGTGGAAGCATCTCATGTACAAAGACAATTCAGCTGTGTGGTGCATTTGATCTCCCATATTCACGTGTAGTGGTTTGGAGCTCTCAGCGTATATGGGAGATCAAATTTGTACTAGTACAACTGATCCTTGGAGGCTTTTAGCCCATCCTGTTTGTCCTAATTTCTTCTGCATGCTAGAGTTCCCATGTCACTCGTTCTGATTTGTGTTCATATCTTAATTCCTTTCAGCCGGGCTTCGCTCGACATCATTTGAAGAATTGATCCAACAAAGAGAGCCAATACGCATGCCGAGAAGGTACAACACTATCTTAAGAACATAACCAGTTTCTTGGGGACAAAGTTCGTATGACCCAAATCAAATTTGTTATTTGTTGTTCTTTTTCGCCAGCTGTGTAGTTACTTGGATTCTTCAGATGGCTCTTAGGATTTGTTCCAACATTTATTTATCTTCTTACAAAGAAGATTGTGAGGGTTGTCGGAAATAGGATTGTCTTTCTTCGACTGTTATTCTATATGTTCTCTCATCAACCCTTTGTTCAACAGTGGTTTAGTTACATGACTCATTTACGAAAAGTTTGTCAGATACATAGAGTGGTAGAAAAAGTCCAACTCATGCAGACACATCATTCCTTTCTCATCCCAAGTTAATTTCAACATTTTCAACTTGATTCATTCAGAAATTATTGTGATCCGTGCCATTTGAGGTGAAATTGATAAATTATGTCAGGAATAAGCATTGAAAATATCAATTAGAGTGAATTATAACATGTCAATTAGTTTTATATCGAAAATAGGCAAATATTAAGATTATAAGAACTTGACGAATGTATTATTATTAACTTCAAATTAAATATTCTGAACTATTAATTTCAGCCACGAACAATAGTCCATTTCTAGTTCTTACTAATTGGAGAATATTCTTCAAACATATGAATGTATAAAAAGCATGCTTCGATGCTTCATATGGCAACAAAGCCTCGTCATGCTACATATTTCCATTCCTAAAGGTGAAACTTTTCTTTTGATTTTTTTTGGAGAAGAATTGGAACCCAAGTTGTGAAAGTGAAGTCCAAATATATTATTCTACTTGAGATATATATTTAGTTGAATTGGCAGCTCTGTCAAACATTCTTTGCCAGTGCATTTAGATCAACTTTTAGCACACGCCCAGAATCGAAGCAATGGAAGATTCAAAGAGATGTGCAGAGTGTGCTACATATATCTGTCATCAAAACAAGGTTTAGCAACAAGTTCTCCTAGAGTTCACTACAAACACGCGATGTTGAAAGCCATTCGTCAAGAGATGCAGTCGTCGTCGTCTTGGGACTTCAGGCATAAGCACAGCTGCCATAACCTGCACAAGTGCTTCGTGAGCGGTAGATGGGAGCAGACATGATCACATCCTCATCAACCTTGGTCTTACTTGGATCGGTGGTGACGACGAGTGCGGAGTTGTTGAAGAAGCAGTTCCATGGGTTCCGTCCTCTGGACTGGTAGTACAGATTCATGGCAATGGAAGCATGGGACATGAGGTTATCTGGGTAGAAGCATGGGAAGCCCCTCTGCAGCACGCTGCAGTCCACCTGAGAGCAGACGTAGTTGATGTTTTCGAGCAGCGTTGCGTCGTCCGACGAAGGTTTCGCCACACACCAAGTTTTCTGCAACGAAGTAACCATGTCTGCTACGATTTCCATGTTTCGTATTTGTAAACGATTCAGATTGAATAATACTACAATAAGAGTTCAGATTGGAGAACGTCGAACGGACACAGTTCTTTCTGGCTTACCTGTCCCTGCACCAACTGCACTCTTTCCCCTGCGATTACAAGGATAAAAGCAGCAATCACCAGCTGAACTTTCCACAAACGCATTTACGATGCCAAAAGAAAGAAGAGCCAAACTCCAAGGCCAACCTGAGGTGAAGTAGATCAGAAGCAGCGTTAGCGAGAGGAATGTTTCAGCTCCTCTTGCCATGTCACTTCTGCCCTATTTGCCAGCAGCAGCCGTAGTCGCAGGAGAAGGAGATCAAAATGGTTGTGTTCAGTGTGGAAGGGGGAGCGACGGGCTTTAGATACAGGCAGAGATGACAGTGGTAAGTAACAAGAGCAGGACCTTTGCGTACATCAAAGCATTTACCCGCAGACGGACCATTTGTGTTTTTTGGCAAAACCGATGGGACCCAGTGCAAGCCACATATGGGAAGGCCTTTTAGAATGGTGTGCCACTTTCCCTATTGGGCGTCTCCAGACAAAACCCACATAGAAGGTGTTCCACCTACGTCGCTACTTCGGTCCCGAGTCATGAAAAGCAACTGAGCGCTGTTTCTGGCCTGACGGACGACTTAAGTCGCGACCGTGGACCCGCCTTGTCAATTGGGCCGTGGGCCGTGAGATGTGGGCTTCTAAGTTGTGAGGCGTGTCTCTTTTAGCGGAACTGAAGACATGGGAACCCGAGTCCCAAGCCACACGTTTGGAACCCCACCCCTCGTGTGTGATCCTTGTGGACGCACGTACTCTGCTTTCGTCGAACGATGTGATGAGCTACGCGGCGATATCTCCGCCACTCAAGCCGTGGAAATATATGTCTATAACTCTCGCTCCGGTTCGATCTTGCCTTGATCGCAGGAGTTTCTGTTGGGCGCGATGGCCGCACGTGCGGCGCTTCGTTCTGTGCCAGGTTCGACCAACCTTCATCCCACTGCCGCCCCCAAGCCTTTTTCCCAATTCCCCGCTATCTTCCGCATCTCCCGAGCCGACAAGTTCGGCAGCCACCGGAGGCGCTCGTCCGCCCGCGCTATGGGCTCCTCCTCCTCCTCCCAGAGACCGGACCAAGTCCAAGGTCAGCGGTACCCTGCTCTCTGCCCCTGTTTATTCTCTCCCGTGTACCACAGTTCGAAATTCTTTCACGCTTATATCCATTCGGAATCTTTTGCTTGCTTGTGTGGATGATCAATCGTAGAACCGCTTAAGCTTCTTGATGTAGGGCGACAATTGAAACTTGTCGCACCAGAAAGGTACCGACACGCCCCGTCTGGGAAACCCTCGGTAGAGGTACCGATGTATAACTAGGCCGATTTCTGGGGTCAACAACACAAGTGCATGCCAATTGCCTTGCCATGCATTGTGCTGTGCCAGAAATGGTATCAGTACGCCCCTATTCCAGACAAAATGGCAATACTTGCTAGGATATGATCCATATTCTTTGAGATGTTATTGAACTAGGATTATACATCAAGTAGTTTGATTCTGTTTGTACATTGAGAAATTACAATGATTTTAGTAAAGAACTCTTCAGCATGTGACTTCTGAAAATAAATTTAACCAAACTTTTCAGTTCAATTTTTTATGAGGTTGATTGCGTGTTGAATGTATGCCTTCGCAAGATTTGGATGAAACATAAAGTTGCTCGTCCCGGTTAGGTACTAGGATTTTGTCACAAGAAAATAAGATGTTCATGGTCTGATGCAATTACCTAATACTAGGCTTCTTTGGAGCAAGAAGTGAGCATCGTTAATTATTTTGGTCATGCAAGGATTGGTTTGATGATGACTCAGGAAAGTGACAAATTGGTCCGTAGAAGAAAGTGAGTATGTACTCTACATCACATCCTCATCCTCCTGCCAAATTGCCTTGTTACCAGAGGCATGGATATGGAAAAATTGTTTTTAAGTTTTGAAGGACCCTGATGAACTCAAAATCGATCAGACAAAACATATGACATTTCTAAACTTTATTATATTCAGTGTTATTTAAGTTTGCTAGGCTGCCAGAATATTCTTTGATTTGTGATTCTACTTGTGATTAGTTGTACAATGGATCACTTTGTGCAAAACAAATGTTTACAGAAGGCACACGCTTGAGATCTTCCACTGTTTCAAAAACTTCCTGTCATGCCTGAGCAACTGTTTCAACACCTTAGTATAGAGAGTACCAACCTGAGAAATTAAGATCTTCATGTTTGGATCTCTCACCTTTTTGTTGTCCATGTAAATTTTGTAGCATTACTTTCCTAACAAAGTAGAGAGAGTTAAATGCAAGTAGATTATGTTGTCAAAGAAAAAAGGGTACTAATACTTTCCTGACAGACAAGCTATGTTGGCGTGGAAAACTATGTGCCTCCCATATAAGCGGCATGAACTGGACCCAATTGCATGTGGCATGACATCAACTAGTTGGCCTGCCTTTGGATATCTGAGTTTATATGTCATGCATGAGAGGGTACGCTTGCTCCTCCAGCCTAAAGTTAGATCAGATTGTGCCTGTGACTTTGATGTTCAAGCTGGCATGAATGACCATGATATTATGTCTTTCAATTCTGTTGGTTTGTCGGTCTAGCTTGATTTGCCTCGTATTCAGGTAATATTATCCTGAGATCACACAGGCATTCAGCATTTATGAATTGCCTAACCTTTTGGACTAGAGTAGAGAAGGGCTGTAGTTTAACATAGGAAAATAGATATGCGATTCTTTAGAGTCATCTCTGAACAAGGTGTAGAAGGATAATATTGGTGACAGGTATTTCCTTGACTTGCATGCTCATGCTATATAAATCTCATCACCTTTTTTGTTCCTAGAAGTTGAGGCTTTCTATATTTCTCCACTGAATATTATTTTCAGAGCCAGCTAATGTCAATCCTGCCTCATTGAGTGATGAGGAGTGGAAAAAGCAACTCACCAATGAACAATATTACATAACTCGTCAAAAGGGTACCGAGAGGGCCTTCACTGGGTAAATCTTTTATTTTCTATTGCCTTTATTTTCTGGTTTTTTTTTCTTTTCATTTTTCTGACGGGCTGACCGCCTTAAATTGTCTTGTAGTAATTTTTTTTACGGTGATCTTACTTGGTATGCTTGACAAACAGGGAATACTGGAACACCAAAACCCCTGGAACCTACCACTGTATATGTTGTGATACACCTTTGTTTGAGTATGTATCGTATACGCTTATGATTTTGCTTTAATAACCGTGAAATGGCATCAAGCGCATGCATTGTTTATTGATTTTGGCCTGTCTGTTTTCCAGATCAAACACCAAATTTGACAGTGGCACAGGTTGGCCATCCTACTATGAACCAATTGGCAACAACGTGAAATCCAAGCTGGACATGTCAATCATCTTCATGCCTAGGACTGAGGTTCTTTGTGCTGCCTGCGATGCCCATCTTGGTCATGTTTTTGATGATGGGCCACCACCAACAGGAAAACGATACTGTATCAACAGGTACGATGACTTCTTCCATCTCTCAGTTGCAAGCAGATTGAGCTCATCTTAATGTAAAACATTATTTGTAATCTGCAGCGCATCCCTAAAGCTGAAGCCGAAGTAGCAAACTCTGGTCTGCGCATGCATGTGTACTGTGAAATATGTAGACCTTCTCCAGAGTCTATGACAAAATCTATCGGACATCTGTAATTTTACTGCTATAATTAAATAATTGGAAACACTCCATTGATGCCGAATGCCTCGGATTGATTGTTCTTGTTTGAAATCCTGTCTGTTGTCTGGTGGTGTAATCTATGATAAGTTCTTTAATTAGATTCGTATGCCAATTCTACTCTATGCAGACCATTGGATGATGTCATGTCCACTTCAGCCGTGGACCCCAGGTGCCAGGTTCGTCCACTTTTGCGTACGAGCCGGGCGGAGTTCTCCGCAGAGTCCGCGTACGAAAGACCGATGCCAACTACAACGCACATCTAGATTGAAATCTATAGCGGCCGTATGTTAGACTTGCGTACCATAACATGCTATGTTGACTTTTTCTGTGGCGGAACGGCGAGGTTTGAAGGATATTGTTTCGGTAACGTTGACCATCGTGTTATTTTAGTGTGGCACAGAAACGGCTCTGGCTTGGTTGACCACTTGATGACCAGATCCACCGATGGAGGAGCAGAATTCAAAGGAGAGAGGCTTCATTAACATTTTCCATTTCTGTACTCGGATTACAATATTATTCTTGAGAGAAGGACGACTGAGCTGGGATAGAAGAAGATAAAATACCGATCCAAGATGATCTGGGACAGTTGACATTTGGCACCTTGGATCAAGAGGTAGCGAGCGGATCCGGTCTCGGTTGACTTTTCAGCCTCAGATTGGCGTTCGCTAGTTAATTTCATGCACGACCGACCATGCAATCAGCTGACAACCGGAAGAAATCGTGGCCTCTGGTGTCCGTCCCAGTCAACGAAACAACGGAGGTCGTCGTTGTTGCCGGCGGGAATTCAGAGGAAATGAGCTACTTGCGTTGGCCTTCCAAAAGACACAGACTGCTTCAGATCAACGGAAGACTATGCTGCCGCAGATTCAATAAAACCACCATCAAAGTATGTCAAAAATTTTGTAAGTATTAGTTTAAGTTATTATGATCATGATGAATATATATCTAATTTAATTCAAAATTTTAAATTATCAGATTACCAATCAAATCTAATAATGTATATGTTTTTTTCGTTTTTAACAATATAAGATTAATTTTTCCGGAATATCTCTTCATCTCATGATCAATGAATATTCTCAATAGAACAGCTACTGCTCCTTGTAATAACACACAGTTCGAGATGCCGACGACGACGTTACGTCCGAAGGAATAGGTCCTTTCTGTTCACGTATAGAGCCAGCCCTATGTGGCCGCGTATAAGTGGGTCAAACATGGGGGTGCCCCGCCCTTTCCCATTAGCTCAACGACGAAGATGGAGTCGTCGTGTCTCGGCCGGGACGGGAACTGTTATAAATTGTTCAAATTAAGAATTTCTTTTCAAAAGATTTATTTGAAAAGGTGTTTTCTTTTATTTTTGGTAGTTATTTTTCAAAGGTTGTGTCTTTTGAGAAAATAGTTATAATTTTCAATGGTTGTGTCTTTTGAGAAAATAGTTAATTTTCAAAGGTTATGTCTTTTGAGAAAATATCTATAAATAGCTATTTGGGGGTAAATTACCAAGACAATTCTTTCATGCTCTTCTTCTTTACTCTCCAAGTGATTGAGTTAGACATTCTCCAATTCCTTT